AAAAGAATATGGTCTGATGAGTATATAAACAAGTTAAAAGCCGCGGGTATCGGTTTTTATTAAACTGTAAAGACCTCGGGCCTTCGGCCCTCGGTCTTCACAGTTTAATAAAAACCTCTCCCTTGGCTTTTAACCTACATGTAAAGGCAAAGCAGAGTACGAGACATTTTAAACTGAAAAACAACGAAATAGATACGTTTTTAGGAGCAGGCCCTGTTTACATTACATTTTTTAAGTCCAAATTTTGTAAATCGTTTTCTATAATAAACTCATTGTATGTTATACACGGAACAGACAACATATTAAAAGTAGATCTAAAGTTTGTTCGTACACTGCAACCAGGTATATCAATCATGTTTCGCTCCCTACTCTGGTTTAAATTAAATTATTATACGAAGCCCAGTCGAATTGTAATCAAGACCCAACGTTTCGACACTCCAGTCTAGTGTCTTCATCAGGGGTGATCTAAAGTTGCAATTGTGGCTTCTTTAATACCCAAGGGATGACGTCACCTGCCAATGAGATGCATGTATTCCTTTGGCAAATACAGGCACCGTCATCCCTATTCAAAGCATGATTACTCATATTTACTGTATATGCCACGCTTCTAGGCATAGTCTTTGACCATAGCGATTGTTTATGGTAATTATACTTTAGAGTTTTCCCACGCAATCTCGTGTTTGGTGTCACACACATGTTCTGCTAAAGCTGATTTTCCCTTGTTTAAGTTGAAACAGCCTTTTAATTTGATGTTCTTTTAGCCTCACGATACTGTTCAGCAGTTACGTTCTTAAGGTTACAATCTTTGCTAAGTTTTCGAAGTTCTTGGAGAAATTCAGTAAGAGTTCCGCCGGATTTCTGCCGTCTTGTTGCCAGCAAATGTCTAGCAAATATTTCATTTGGTGCCTTGACAAATAGTTGTTCTAGTACGCGAATGGCCGATTTATAGTCGTTGCAGTCTTCGATATATTCATAAACGTTATGAGACACATAATTTACAAGAGTTCTATATTCATCAGGAGCCTTTTCGCCACATTCATCAATAAAATTAGTAAAGGTACGGTGCCAATGCCTCCATTCTTTCGTTGCTGTGGGCGAATTTGGATCTAAGTCGAGTCGTGCTGGTTTGAGTAGCGTATTCATGTTTTCGTTGTCCAAACTGATTTTCACGATTCTATTTTGGGTTTATTTTAAGTAGGATAAATTGTCGTAATCATAAAGTAATAATAGAAGCCATACTTATTGCATGGCTTTATCCTACGTAAAGCCAGCTATAAACTTAATACGTTTTACAATGTACAAAATGGCCGACACTAAAATGACCAATGACTAACGCGGGCTCAGGTGCCACAGCAACCCAATCCGGTAACTAATAAATATAAAGTTTATGTCAAATAGCGAGCAAAAACACGTCTTACAATTTGAAAAAAATATTGAAAGCTGAGGTTTTATGCCAACAGAAAGAAAGCTTCGGAGACTTTCCTGCAAACAATCAATAGCATTTCAGTCACAGCGTGACCAGATATTTTGCAAAGCAATTACTAAATAAGCGTGCAAAAAAATACCAAAACGTAGAAAAAATTACTAAATTTCTGCAGTCAATCAATAAAACATCTCAGCAAAACAAAATCAGTGAAACGCTTTCCATCACTGTAACTATGTTTTTTCCATGTCTTTCTTTCTCACTTGTATTTTGATTGCAATTGTGCAGAATGCAAATATAGCGCCGCGCGCAGCCATGATCGGGTCCGGGTGAATGGTGATCAGCAGGATTCCGTCGATTCAGCTGGACAGCTTGGGCCAGCAGCTTGTAATTTGGATATACAGCTTTGCAGACATGGACCTGCAACTATTCTCATTGAAATTTTGAATAACAGGTTGTGTCATTATGGCGTATTTGGTTGAATATCATGCGATAACAGAAATATTTCTAACTTTAGTAAGAGAAATTACTAAAAAAATTACCAAACATTTTCAATTACCAAAAAAGTTAGAAACATCACGAAATATCACCAAAAGTAATTAAAATTACCAAATCTGGTCACACTGATTTCAGATCGAGTAACATGGAAACAAAACGTTTATTTTCGTATTGTAACCTACCTTCGACATCTTGGCGAGGGGGCACTATGATTTTGGTTCCTGTTTTCGTTTCAATTTTTTCTAAATTGTTACGTCCTTTGCCCACAACAATATGTATATATTCTTTTGGTACTTCGATATTTTTTACATCACCAATCACCTTCGTTGCAAAAAGAAACAAACTATTTAGCATTTTTTATAATATATTACCTCAGATTCAAATTGTGCAATGAAAAAACATCATTTGTACCACGTGATAATGTGATTTTTGACGGTATTTCACTCAAACTCATGATTTCGCAATGCAGCGTGAGATACGATAACATCGCACGGTAGATCCACCGTGGGATATTATAGTATCTCACGCGTGACGCGTGGACACCACGCTCTGAAACAATATGGCGTTCGCGAGCTGTTGTTTGTAATTTCGTACAGAAGATTTATTGATTTAAGTTAACCAAAGATTTTCAAGACGTATGTTACCTTCAACGATCCAAAGGATGCATGCTCAAACATTTTAAAGAAAAAACGTCAAAAACTCAGGTA